AATGCTGTCTTCTGTGGAGTAATAGACAAGTCTGAGCGATGCACACTTGTAAATCAGCTACCGTAGACTACCGTGATAAATTACTCTTATATCTGAATAGTATCTGTACATTCTAATTCTGAATAGAGTGGCGTCACGATAGTGGCTATTTAAACGTTTGTAGCGGAATTTGGCGATTTTCTTTTCGTTACCCGTGCTTGGGTAGCTAAGAATGGACAAACGATGGAGCATATTGAGAGGCCTTTAATTCATGCAGAAACTAATCTGATCGTCTCAACAGAAAAAGGAGAAAAAACTCGAAGGCCGTAAACGTCCTGGCAAGTGTTTAAATTGCCTGTCCCATGCATCAAGACGAGTGCGCTCGCTCTAGCGCTGTTGTATTGGGCTAACGAAAGGTGTGTAAAATAGATTGGTCCCAAAATAGATCTTGATCCTGGTGAATGCTGGTTGCTGGGACCCCAAAAATGTGCCTAGACAAAAAACCCCTCAAACCACTCTCTTTCACAGACGAGTGACTTCGCACCACTGTATAGTAGTGAATCCAACGTTGATATTTGTTTAATCTCTGTTGGGGTTTCACGGGATGCTTGTTTACTTTTTCCTTGTAGATAAATAACTGTTATCCCCTAAAGGATATTTTCAGTGATGGCGAATTTAATCACAGACATGAAGCCCTTCAAGAGAACCAAAATTCCGGGGAGGGGGTGTGGCTTTCAGTTATAAAGTGTTTTATGGCCTTTCTTTGTGCGTGGCTAGGCTAAATGTTGGGGCTCCTGAACACAATGACGAAACGCAGTGTTTACTCCCGGGCATTGTAGGTGAAAAGTGGAAATAGAAATCAAAGATAACGGACACGATCGTCAGTCATGCGAGCCTTCGCGCGACTTTAGACGGAGCAAACTTGCGGTCTCGTAGAAGCTTGAAAAAGTGGAGCTCTGGCGTTTGTCGTGTGCTTGATACACACAACAGTTAACACGCAGTATTTTGGAAAATATGATAAAGCCTTTTTTCAAGCTTAGGATCCTTTTGACAATTTTCCATACGCATGATGTTCTAGCGGTAGCGCGCGTACTGCTGTCGTCCTCACCTTTCACCCACAATGCACCACGGTAAACATTGCGTAACGTCATTATATTCTAGGTCTTTTAAAATGCATCCTTCAGAATTCGTCTTTGTCGTGATATGACGGAAGGAAAAAAAACACGTTCCCCTTTTTGGAGGGGCACGCCCTTGTTGCCCCAACCTTGGATCCGCCAATGGGAAGATTCATATTAGGGTCTGGTTGGCGTCGTGGTTCTTTCCTCACCTTGCACATCGGTGGTCCTGGGTTCCATTCCCGGCCCGGTCCACATTGGTTGGGTTTTCAGTCTGTACCTGATTTCATGGGTTTTACCCAGAATATTCTTCTGGGGTTTTCCTCCCGCCACTAAACTGTTACTTCTTCGCATTGTCTCCTCTCTACAGGTTTCTTCAGGCATGTGAGCTACTGTGCCTATAGGGCACTTATGAGGAATCCTTGGTTTCATTACCAGAAAGACTTAAATAAATAGATATTGGCGTTTCCTTCTTCAGGCCTTTTGTTTGGAGTCTGAGGTAATCTGTCCCTAATGCATGGTATCGGTACTCTTTCAGTTTGTTTCAATTTCGCCGACTAGTCAACTGCGATTACCGGTATTCATCCCCAGCGCAGGGTAATAAATGATAAAAGAACCGCGCCCAGTCCGTTTTGTCGTGTATAAAGTATGTTTCGGAAATCTTTGAAATTCAGTTCTGTCAGTTCGCGCATTGTTTCTGTATCCTCCTTGGATTGATGTAATCAATCACAATGCGCGAAATCTGCCGATCCTTTCCAAACGGGTCGACAGATTTCGCGCATTATGATTTGCCAGTGCATTGCAAACTCTTGGAGGCGCACTATTGTGAAACGCCCATATTCAAGAAAGAATTCCCACTGTAAAGCATCATCTGTTCAATGCCCCACTGCTCTTCACGGTAGCAAAGATGTGCTTATTGCTTATTGTGGAATTAGGAGACAAGAATAGTTGAAGTCCGGTTTCCNCTAAAGTGTTTTATGGCCTTTCTTTGTGCGTGGCTAGGCTAAATGTTGGGGCTCCTGAACACAATGACGAAACGCAGTGTTTACTCCCGGGCATTGTAGGTGAAAAGTGGAAATAGAAATCAAAGATAACGGACACGATCGTCAGTCATGCGCGCCTTCGCGCGACTTTAGACGGAGCAAACTTGCGGTCTCGTAGAAGCTTGAAAAACTGGAGCTCTGGCGTTTGTCGTGTGCTTGATACACACAACAGTTAACACGCAGTATTTTGGAAAATATGATAAAGCCTTTTTTCAAGCTCAGGATCCTTTTGACAATTTTCCATACGCATGATGTTCTAGCGATAGCGCGCGTACTGCTGTCGTCCTCACCTTTCACCCACAATGCACCACGGTAAACATTGCGTAACGTCATTATATTCTAGGTCTTTTAAAATGCATCCTTCAGAATTCGTCTTTGTCGTGATATGACGGAAGGAAAAAAACATGTTCCCCTTTTTGGAGGGGCACGCCCCTGTTGCCCCAACCTTGGATCCGCCAATGGGAAGATTCATATTAGGGTCTGGTTTTATTAATAAATTCCCCTAAATTCACTTGTTTTCCTTCTTGTACAACATTCTTTGCAGAAAGATTTTTAGGCTTCTGGTGTCCTTGCAGTCATTGCTGCTCGAAAATGTCACGTGAATAATTTATCTCCCACACGTGTGTGTGAAAAATACACTATAATTGTTTCTCCTCACACTGGCATGCATCTGCCGTCACCGGAAATCCTGTTTTAAGAAACCTTATTTTCCAGTTACATGTATCAGTTTGATGTGAAGACACACTGAAAGTTTGAATGGGCTGATATGCCCTGATAAATGATACTGGGGGCCCATGGTCCAGTGAGCACAGTAAAGTGTGGCGTCATCAATATAGAGAGAGGTCAATCTACGCAGGGTTTTATTTTTGTTGAAATAGTCACCGTGACATCGTGTACTTGTGAAAGAGCAAGTGCGCCATTTTAGTCCACAGGCTGCTTGAATGCCGTGACATCGTGTACTTGTGAAAGAGCAAGTGCGCCATTTTAGTCCACAGGCTGCTTGAATGCCGTGACATCGTGTACTTGTGAAAGAGCAAGTGCGCCATTTTAGTCCACTGGCTGCTTGAATGCCGTGACATCGTGTACTTGTGAAAGAGCAAGTGCGCCACTTTAGTCCACAGGCTGCTCGAATGCCTTTCCATTTTGCTCCTTTTCTGATTCAGGATAAATATCGCTGGTGACTTCGTCGAATTCAGGAACCGATCTGTACAGAAATCGTACACAAGTAGGGCCTAAGGGTGCATTTGCTTGTTCAGTCCGATGGTACCCTCACTCCGAATGTTAGAATCTCCAGGGGCATACAAAAACAAACAAAACTATTGCAAATCCGTAGGCCTACTCACACGAAGGTTTTTGGTAATACCTTCTTCCCCAGAATAGTCAGGGATTGGAACAACATGACAATCTGTGGTCATTGCAACATCTTTGTCAGTTTTAAGGAGGCAGTCGGGCAATTTTTTATTGATGGGTCAATTTAAATTTGCTTCAATCCCCCCACGCGAGGCGTAAACCTAATACAGTTGATGGGATGTGATGTGTGTATTGGATGCTTTGCCGACTATTATTATACATATACAGATACAGCCGTAGCCGTTTGTCATGCATGGTACTCGTACGTTTACTTCCTCCACTTATTTTTGCTTATTGTTCAGGGCCGAACACTGAACACCAGCGCAGCTTTTGTGATGAAAACGAGATGTCTGATGTAATTATTCTGTTATTCGGTCATCTAATGCAGCAGTAGCCTTTTTCGAGCAGTGAAATCCTTTGATTTCCTCTGTTCCCGTCCAGCGTTGAACTAAAGACTATCCTGATGCTCATTTAGCTCATTTTCTTCATGCCAGATTCAAGAACGTAACTTGAATTTAGTTCACGTTGTGATTTTAGTCTGTCACAGCAAGTCATTACGTAACCGAAGGCCGAGTTGATATTCGAATGGTATAGAATTCAGTAGAGCAAAATGGTATCGATAAAAATTGCTTTATGATAAATCAAGGATTGGTACCGGCTTCTGTGGACAGTACATGATGATGTTGAATAAAATGACTTAATGTCACCTTTAAAAAAATGTAGCACTTCTCGCTTTATCGTGTATCCTGACTAGTGTCCTTTGTAAATACATATATATTGGGCATATCTCCAGAAAAACGTTTGTAAGAAATATTCTCAAAGGTTTATGCTGCATACGCGTGCTATGTTGGCAACGCGCCGTGCGGCGTCTCCATGTGAGACTAACCATCAACTAGTATCGAAAAATGGCTATGGTATTTCACCGTTTGATCAAAATTCGAAGCCGTAGTCGAGGGAGACGCGACCAGAACAAACCTGTGTATTAACTCAGTGGTGCATTGGCAGCAGTGGGTGAACATACGTGTGCAGACATGACATACATAGTGTGGACCTCTGCACAAAAGAAGTCCACATAATGTAGGTTATGATGGCATTGTGTGGACTCGCACACGTCCACACATTGCATTCCCCTCTCTGAAAAACAGTTTCAGAAGCATTTTGGGGTCAAGGCAAAATGAAGAGGAACAGTCCAAGAAATCATCATCAAAAATCCAGCTCGAAGGAGCTATCCTATTTGGAGAAAAAAGAGCACTTTCCTCAAGTTTCCTTAACCACAGGAGAACAAAGGAATGTCCACACTTTGCATATCAAACAGGTATGTGTGGATACATGAACTTTGCTCCTGGTTTATTCCAATTTGCCTGTTGTGATTAGTCATGGTATGAAGGGATAAGCAATTTTTACGTGCACGTCTCCTTCATTTGCCGACCAGGGTAAGTTCCGGGGAACAAAACCAACTGCGATTATTTGCCTCCATATTGCACACATTAAAGAAAGCATTATTTCCCTGCAGGGCTCTTTTCCTTGCGCGGGATACGGCAACAACGCCAACCACACTTCGTTCTAAAATGGCAGTTCATCTCATTTGGTTCTTGCTGGTCTTCGCTCAAGTTGGTGCCCTCGTTTTTGACGAAAGGTAGGCGTATTTTAAAGCATTTTTCACCGAACCTTATTTTGAGTAGCAAGGGAATTTCCACGAAAGTTAAATTGAAAGTCACAGTTGATACAAGTTACAAGATCAGATTTATACAGTGTTCCAGAATATCAATTGCCCACTTTGTGTTAAGTTCGTGTCACTGGAATGGTGCCAGGATGATAGAATCTCAGACATTCTCCTGAGATGTTATCAAGAAGTCGTGAATTGGCAGCCTTAGATTCAGAATGCAATGAACTATGAATTATGGACATTGATATCGGGAAATGTGTTCACATTTTGCCGTGAGCCCCCGTCAAGGGAAGTATGTGGAGGCGACTTGGGCAATCTCGATTTAGTTGAAATTCTGATCTGTAACAGTTTCTTGTGAAGCATTTTTATTTTCTGATGACGAAACGCTGTGGGAAGGCATACTACAGAGTTTCTTTGTGTCTGAATTGCGTTGACTAGATCTAAGAACCCCAATATCTCTGACTATGAAGTGGATGTGGAAGCCCAATATCCGATCTATGTCACTGATGAGCGATTCCTTTCTGTGACAATTGGCGTTTGTATACTGAACGACCACTGGAAGAACTTTAACTTGAGGCAAGTTGGAAACTTGAGGCAAGACATGAAACACGTATTGAAGACAGTGTCTTTTGGAGTTTTATTTGACTTGTCCGTTTATCTATTTGTTTGGTTGGTTTTGTTTGTTTGTTTGGGTTTTTTTGCTTGTTTTGTTTGACTTTGTTTTATTTAGATTATTTATTATTTTAGCGCCCAAAAATTGTGAATTAAAAAATGTAAACACAATCCGAATTCAAGAAATGTCTTAAAACCTCCATATTAGGTTTAGAAGAATTTTTAATGTGATTTAGAATTTACTGTCAATGATTCAAAAGCATTGTACTCCGTACCACGCATGTACAAAATATGTTTCGGGTTTATAATGTCAGTCAAAATGAATATCACCCCTTAAAATATTAAAGACATTACTTCTACAGCAGGATATGATTCATTAGTTGTTTCACAAGGAAACTGTCTACCTTTTAGAAACGCCGAATTAACTACGTAATATAGAAAATAAAGGCACAGGACAGACACTCACTGGGAAGGAGTAGTGTTGTTTGTATTTTGATTTTTCATTCATTGCCAACATAAACAGTTCGGCAAAATTGCAGGCGCTGACGCGGGCCCTGTCGCCAGCTTATTTACGTCTGGGAGGCACGGCGGAAGATTTCCTTGTCTTCAAAAATCCGTGCGGCGGCAAGCCGTCTGGTTTTGACGTTGATGTTAACAACCCACTGACGTACTTTTGCCGTACGTATTTAACGTTGATCCACCCTTCCACTAGCATGGTCTCTCACATTATTCGTGTAATAAACCTCGGCGTATTTCTCAAACCCGGCTTAGAATAATGTCCTTTGCTGCCTCGGGTACATTTATATGCTGCCTTATAACAAAGTCCAAAAATTGCACCTTGTCAAGTACAGTTTCCCAGTCATTTGCCTTCAAGAGGGTAAGTCCATATGCTGCTATGCAAAGAAACTGAATCTTCAAGGAGCTGTTGGGAGAGCTTTAAAAGCGAATAAATTAAAGGGGGTTATCCCTGGAGAAATCCCTGGGTAAAGACTAGTCCCGTTTGGCTCAACTTAATGAAATCGACTCTAGCTGTTTTCTTTTTAACTCCGCAGCTGAAGACTGGGACGGGATCAATCGTTTCTGCGTTGACACGGGGTTGCGATTAATCTTCGGGCTAAACCTGTTGCTAAGAACAGAGGAAGGAGGATGGGACCCTGGAAATGCCGAGAAACTTTTCGATTACAATAAGTACGACGTGGCCTGGGAACTAGGCAATGGTAATACGGAACCGGATTTTACTTTTGTTTGCAGCCCTCTTCATGGGTAGCTGCAATGGATTTTTTAATACAAACCTTAAAATGCATCTGTGTGTCTTAATTAACCTCATTTCCAATTTTTGCATCACTATTTAAAATAATCCCTGCTTTGTTGGACAATTGAGGACGCTGTTTGTTTTGCTTCCTTTGTTGTTTTATGCTAATAGTATTTTGCATATTCATGAGCAAAGCTGTGACGATATCCCAGGAAGACAACCTCAATGTTACCTCGGTTTGTGCGCAGAAATTCATGCATTTTGAACAGATTTTGCTGGCCTTATTCTTCTCTTCTTTGGTAATTTGTTGTGTAAATACGTAGCAATAAGAAAACAATCAACCTTTTCTTTAATCTGTGTTCACAATTTGAACATAAGGAAGCATAGTCGTACATGTAACAGCGCCCTCAATTGTCTAAAAAATGGGATTTTTTTTAATCATTAAATATCATTTCGCTTCCATTTGCATTTCCTTTGACGTGTAATCGTCGCATTATGGCCACAGGATCGTAAAATAGTTTGAGATTGACAGACGCATATATTTGTGGACGAAAACTGCTTTCACACAAGTTATCCTATAGTTTCTGTATCGTAACATGCCTTGGTATAATAATTAATGGCTCCTTTTTCTTGCAACTGAAGAACCTGCGACCATTATTTTACCGGTCAAAAGCCAGACTTCCTTTTTAAAAGTTGAGGTTTGTCAATTTTTTCATTGTGAAAAAAAACCGGTTGCTTGATTTTTGAGACGCTAAAGCAAAAAGATTTTATACCAAAGTTATCGATAACTTGCGAATGTGTGTTTGTTTTTAATTTTCATCTCCTGAAGAGCCAAACGCTTTCAAGAAAAAAATCAACATGAGTTTGTCCGGGAGCCAGATTGGTGTTGATTTCAACATGCTCCGCAAGGCCCTCAATGATCGATCCCAGTATGTCGGCGCTGCTGTGTACGGGCCCGACATTAGTGGTGTCGGCAGGGAAAAGACAACCGCCTTGCTGAAGGGGTAACGTCATCGCAACTACTGGAATTCGAGCTTCCTTCAACAAAGGGGGCCGCTGTTTTTTTTGGGGGGGGGTATTTAAAAGGCAACCTTTTAGGTCTTCGGCATAGACGAATCCAACAACGTCACTGGACCCTCCTCCCTGATGCATTTGTTTTTGTGTTGGGACTTGGACATAGCGACTTCCGCCAATTAGTGACTCTATACAGCGTCTCAAGGCTTACTGCTTTTGGCAGGGACCTCTGCAAATTACCGGCGATCGTCCCATGACTCGTCCGGTTTATCTATACGAGAAGTCGCTTAATATATTGCGCGTGCCTGGGCTTCGATACTCATTCGAAATTCATATGCATGTACAATATATTTGCGACTTTCTGTTTGTGAGCTTGGCACCGTTATCTTGAAGGCACCATACTCTTTAACGAAGCACGTACAAGTACTATGTTGGCTTTCCCCCAATTAGTAATGCATTAACTACCACTGAAGCCTCAAGAAGTTGACTTTGAAATACAGTCATTCCTTGGTTTTTTTTTTTGCCGCAACTTCGTGCTGCGGCGTCTTTAGCCTCTGTGATCACCATTAAGCTAATTTTCTTCAGTCCATTTTGACACTGTGCTTGGATTAAGCTGTCAAACGTGTATATTTCTGATTTGAAAGTGGCAGCAAACCCCAACTTCTTTCTGACCGACAGATTTCTTTCAAAGACAAACACCACGAATGCCACCACGTTTCACAGCTACTACCTCGACGGCAGGGAAGCCACTGTAGACGATTTCCTCAACCCGAAAACCCTCGACGGTCTGCTCCCAGGTCAGATCAAGCTGGTGAAGTCCGTGGTAACCGAGTCCCGTGGGCCAGGGTCGCAGGTCTGGCTGGGTGAAACGGGCAGTGCCTTCGGGGGCGGAGCGCCGAATATCTCCGACAGATTCGTTGCTGGGTTTCTGTGAGTTTGAAAACATCATTTAAAAATTGTCATGCAAAGAAAAAAACCGTGTGCGAAAACGCTGTATATAATATGCGACAGGTCTCTATGGGCCGCGCGCTGGAACAAGAGAGGGCGCTATTTTCTCAGCAAGAGAGGCTCTTTTGGTTGGAATCAGGCGATCAAGAAGCGTGCAATTTCGTTACACAAGGTTTTGCCTAGAGCTGCGAGCTGTTTGGCTATCTGCCACGAGTTGAAGTGCGACCTCATCGGCGAAGAAGAAACAGGCTAGTGGGAAGTTTCTCAACCAGGCTCGTGCACGCACGAAAACCATACATCATAAACAGAAATTGGTCGCACGTACTCGGCGCGTCCCGCACGCACACTACCAAAAGCCACATTTGGCTGGGGACAGACATCGCTTTTAGTCTTGTCTCCGATTCATGAGTCCAGTAACGGAAGTTAGTGAATCAGACTCGTGCAATGAAAATAAGTTTACAAAAACCTCGGCAAGGCGCTGTTTCATTCTCAGAATCCACACATTTTGATATTCATTGTTCGTTGGTTTTGCTTTCAGATTTCTAGACAAACTTGGGATGAGTGCTAAGATGGGACTCGGCGTGGTGTTGCGACAAGCGTACTACGGTGGTCATTATACCATGCTGGACCTCGAAAACCTGGACCCAAAACCGGTGCATAATTACCGTCAGTGTGTTTAGCAGAAATTTAACTGTCCAAACTGTGAGAAGGTCCAAGCTAAATTAACGCTTGTCAAAAGAAACTGCACAACTCTACAACAAAAAATGACATTTGTTTCTTTAACGGTTAGAGCTCTTTCGATTTGAGGGAAATCAAAGGATGCCAGTGCGAAAAGGATATATAAAAGGTAATTGACCGCGGTCTCTCATGTGCATGTTGACAGCAACATTTTTATTCTCACAGGATTATTGGATTGCCTACATTTACAAGCAGCTGGTCGGTCCGAGAGTTCTCCATGCTGAGATTACCCGAGTGCCAACTCCGCGTAACGGGGAGCGTGCAGATGAGAATTACGTGCGAGTGTATGCCCACTGCACACCAACCAAGTGAGTTTTATTAGCGAACCAAAGTCAGCAACACCTGGGAACCAAGCTGACTTCAGCTTGCCACGAAATGATGTGGGGCCTTCGAAGTTCCTGACGGTGACCATGCACATGTGCACGGGGCAGGGGGTAGGCTATACGGAATCGGGAATGACTGCCCCAACTGATAAGAGACAACAAAAAAGGAAGTAATTGTCATTCGACTTTCCTTATTTGGTTACACAGAACACTCTATAATGAGCACCGTCATTGTAGGACCATCTTCGAATTTGGGCACTTTATCTCTGCGTGCTGCTTTCAATAAACAGTGTCATCTATCCGTATTGTCTGCCATTTGATAGTGTTTGAGATACATACTTTTGCTACTATTTTAATAAGCCTTTTGTGAGTTAAATTTAAATAGAATCTGATACACTGTGCTATCTCGTTGCACATGAACATAATTTCAAGTCCTCAGACTGAAGACACTGTTGCTATACCTCGAGATTCGGGGCAAGCTTTTGCAGAGCGACCACCATCTCTGGAATGGACAAGTTTCTTTGTGCCCAGGGCGTCTCTTGTGTTTCTAAGCACAAACTTGCCCTTGATCATGAGGTATAATAGTAACAGCGTCTTTAGTATGGAGAATTCAAATTGTCATGTTCTCGTGAATTTAAAGAACTCAGTGTACCAGATTGTATTCAAGTGTTACTTGCAAACGGCTTATTCAGTTCCCCTTTTCAATGATTTTGTTTGCGCCTTCGATGAATTTGCTAACAAAGTACGATTTATCTCATATATTGAGAACACTGCATTTTCTCTTTTTATTTACTGCATGCTGGTGGCTGTTGTTTTTAATTGCTGTTAAAAAGTGAGCGATTTCCGGAATTTTTTCCACTTTTGCAATGAGATTTCGTTTTCTCAGTCGTAGCGGCTACGACGCAGGTGCAGTGACCCTAATCGTGCTGAATATGCATAAGACCGAGTCGGCCAACATCACGTTGATGCAGAAGCTGGAAGGGCAAATGACAGACCAGTATTTGCTGACGCCACATGGGCCAGAAGGAATGACGTCACTGTGAGTGCGATTTCATCGTTACTTTAAAAAAAAACTTTTGGGGTGGGAGAGCGCTTCAATCAAATTTACTTCCTTGGAAATCGTTCCACGGCATTACTCCGAATGCCTCCTCTTTGCCTCTTGCGCCGAGAACCGTGAGGGGATAACACTTACCTTCACTTAAAAAATCGAATGTCGAAACATAAAGGAAAAGTCAGAAACGATGGCTTACTCTCCGTTTCTCGTTTGGAGTATTCTCTTACCAAGTCATGACACCCACACTTTGGATCGTTGAAATTCTTTTTTCCCTCAAATCCAACAGGGAAGTGAGCCTGAACGGACAACTCCTCCAGCTGAGGAACAGCACCATCCTTCCTAAGATAGAACCGATCCCACTCAAAGGTGGAAGACCCATACTTCTGCCTCCCCTGTCCTATGGGTTCTACGTAGTCGCCAAGGCTAACGCCAGAGCGTGTATGCTGTAGTGGGTAAAGGTCATTAATCAAACACGCCGGTTAATCATCTAGTGTAGATTAGAGTAAATCTTTAAGTCCTTGTTAATTACCAGTGGACTGGGTTGTTATTATTATACCGGTGTGCTGTCGCCGTTGTTGTTCTGTTGTATCGACCTATAGCTCGATGAAAATGACATCAGTATTTACAAAAAAATTACCGGCGGGTTCATATTGCATATCAACGCACTAAGTTTGGATCTTTAATTGGTGCATGATTCTTTTCTCACAAAACTTTGCATTTAAATTAATTAATTAAACTCGCAAAATTTCCAATTTAGATTTAGTTCGTTGTTTGAAATGGTCCTTAAAATTCTCTTTTGTTTTCACTTCTGATATTTTTACTGTTTCCACTGTTGCTTATCTTACGAATAGAAGTAAAGTGTTTGTTGTTTGTGGTGTCGAATCTACATTGTTCGGAAAGTCATTTGCTCTGCCTCATTTCGGACATTTTGGTAAGTTATTCTTTTAAAACTTTCGTGCTTTGAAGGTCGTCTGCTCGCACAAGAAACCGCTGTCGTCTGCTTGAAAATGAAGTGCACATGCGCGTTTGGGCGTGAACAAACGTGTATACTTCGGAATGAAGTATTTGAGAGGATCAGTCAAAGGGAACCCTAGAAATTAAAAACATGACTGCTCTAATGAAATTTTCCAATAACCTCACAAGGAAGGTCTCCAGGCAGATACTTCGCACCTGCCTACTGATTTCCTGATTATAGACGTGTGCGTACGTCCTTGCGCACAAACAGATAAATAGCTAAATTTTGTGGGTTGAAGGTACAAGAGAAAGTTGGACTTGGATTGGATGGAATGGATTACATTGGATTGGAATGGATAAGAACTTAAGAACAAAACTTATAAGTTACCCGTTTGCCTGAAAAAACATTAACGTTAAGATGAAATCAATGCAGTTCACAGACATGCAGAAAACCTGCACCGAACCAAGGACCAGTATTTAAGTATGCACGCTTTAAAGGCAATGTGTAGGATTTGCAAGATCTCAAAAATGAAACTGTCCAATTATCTTGAAATAGCTTTCTGTAAAGTAAGTACATATTTGTGTCATACCATCTGTAAAATCTTACCGCCAGAAATGCTGTCATTTTGCGAAGACATGTTTTTTTTTCTCAGACGGACGATCTTTTGAAAACACAATTCGTTCAAATACCAAAACGGGCGCAGTGAAAATGTGTGTAAAGTATTGGAAGAGTCTATGTGAACAGATAATAAACAAACTGCCAATACGCCTTCTGACGAGTTTTGATGAGTTTAAGCTTACCGAAGTCTTCGGTAAGCCTAAACTCATTATTAAGTAAATAAATATATAACCGTAACTAACATACAAAAGAAGAATTTCGACTGGTTTAGAATTAAAGTTTCTGTATGAAACTTTGGAAGTTGAATATATCATCTCGCTATCACCCTTTAGATAATGATATGGTCCAAACCAGTGTCCGTTCCTTCGGAGCTCCGTACCGAAGCTTGTTTTCTTCGAACAGAATCTCCAAATTGGAGGTATTAATGGATATCTCCAAATTGGAGGTATTATGGATAATGGTATGGTCCAAACCAGTGTCCGTTCCTTCGGAGCTCCGTACCGAAGCCTGTTTTCTTTGAACAGAATTTCCAAATTGGAGGTATTAAGCTTGCTGTGTTTCCAAAAACGGCAACTTTCATGCCCAAAATGCAATGGTAGTCACCATATTGTTTATTTATGAAGTGTTTATGATGGCCACTGACGCTGTGATTGTGTGGTCGATCGTGTTTCGAAACATGGTGCCTTGTGTGCACATGTATACACCCAACGCCATCATATCCTACATTATGTGGACTTCTTTCGTGAAGAGGTCCACATTATGTATGCCACACGCCTGCACAACGCCACCATACCCTATATGGACTTCTTTTGTGCAGAGGTCCACACTATGTACGGGTACACGTGACTTCTTACTCTGTGTAAAATTTGCATCTTTTTACACACGACACTTAGATTCTTGCGCACGACTCTGGGAGGAAGTCATGTGAGCTTTGAGATTGAAGATTCCCATCGTTTGAGCTGTTCAACGACGCTCATATTTTATTAATTTCTAAGCCTCTAATTCCTATAAGTTGAGAAGATTTTCCCTAGCTCGTCAGTGTGGTGTGGCGGACCAAACCCTTTTGCTGAGCAAACCTAACGTAGTGCGGTGGTTCGACCCTTTCCAAGAGACGTGCGATGGTAACCATTCTTATGGCGAAGAAATGTAACCATATGAATGCCCAGTTAGCTTAGCTTGGACCGATGCGACAGCGGTACGAACTAGCTCAAAGTGCTAGTGAGAGTCATAGCGGCCCGTCACCGCCACATCCGAACCGATTGCCAGGCGAGACACCCCCGTGTCCCTCGTCACCCTTGTCTTGCTAACAAGCCCCAGTCCTCCCGACTCTACATAGTGCGGCGATTCTGTCATTGCGCTCACCACATTGCGGTCTGAGCGGCAGTGCGGTCGGTACATACCAGCGCTGGCCCTGTCCAGCTATTGCTTGTCACCGTGGTGGCCCGGGACAGCTCCCACCACGGTGCGGCCCAATGAGTGTAGCCTAGTTGTGCGATGCGACACACCCGTACCGTACCGATCCATCTGACTTGCATTTCCAATGGTCCTGCCAAACCGTAGTTCAGTTACACTTGCATACAACTTCGCCTCTCTATAACTTTACCTTTCATGTGTTGTATTATGTTAAGCTACACCTTCTTCAAACCCAGATTGGACTTTGATAAAGAGAAATGATAGCAATAAACCAAATATACAGTATGACTGTCACCCAAACCCCTTGTATCCCGTCCACCTTTTAATAAATTGTTCACCCCAAATATCACATCCTGTAGACACTAGAAAAGTCCATGCTACCACCAACCTGATATTTAAGGAACGCAACGATACTACAGCTAGTCAGAGAAACGCCACCTCCGGCGTTGAAAGGTTTTTTTTTATTACCCATAGCCCGACCAACACGTTTAAAAAAAAAAAAGAAAAATTACATCAAGAATTTTGTCGCCTCAACAGACTGTAAAAACCAATACATGATTACATAAGATATAAGATGCGGCCCTCGAGTCAAGACCCATCAATCAAAATGGATTGATGGCAGATGTCGCTGGTAATTGCGAGGTGATTACACATTGAGGGACTATTCTATAACCATTTTGCAAATGACATTATCACGGGTCGTCAGACATCTATTCCACACCTGCTCCATCCGGACAATGCGATGGAGATGGAGATTTGGCTTCGGAGATGCTGTGATCAGTCACTCCTTGGCGGGGTTGGTTGTTACACATTTTTATGTATCAGTAACACAACTGGCTATCCACCCCACACTGATAGCAGAAATGGGAGGAAGAGGCCGGACTTTCGGCAGGTTGTGTAATGGGCCAGGGATTATTAAGTTAATGACTGGTACCTGATGGTCTCACAACTGCCCCTTTTAATAGAAAATCGTTCCACGGCCCTCGCCCCACGTGGCTTTCACGCGAGGCTTGCATCCCCACACATACCACGTCTAGAATGTAGACGATGACAATATTCATGTTAAGTAAGATTTGAAGCTTTTGAATATTTGAATATTCATGTTCCCAGCAAACGCGGTGAACAATGTGACACAATAAAATATGTAAATGAAATTTGTAAGTTGTCTTCGTTACACCCAAAGAGCTGTGAGCTCTGCGTCATCATGACGTGTAAAGCTGGACCTCGTGCCTCTCCAGAAGAGCCAACTGTTTACCTCGCACGCTCATTGTCTTGCATGCAGGGCAGCCTTTTATATAAAGTGCCGACAACCTTTCTCAGCTGCAAACAGGAAGCGTTGATTCGGCATTCATCTGACAATTATAGGAGTCAGTGTCTGGTCCCACAGAAATTCGCCATGTCCGATACCAGTTACTGGGAGCAGGTTCAGTGGACCGGAGGCTTTGACAACGAAACAGAGTTTTGGGCATCGGGGCCCCGCAGTCCGCTACAGATCGCCGTCAACACCAGCATCGCCTGCCTGGCTTTCCTCGGGAACGGCCTGGTGATAACCGTCATGCTGGTCAGACGCCGCATGTTCAGCTCAACCGTAAATCGCCTCATCCTACACCAGTCCATCATTGACGCCATTACGGCAGTGGTCTTCTTCCTTCACAGAGTTGTCAAGGACCCAATTCCCGTGGTGTCTACTGAAAACAACTTCCACGACGAATTGATCTGTCGTTTTCTGTACGTAGACGTCTTGTTGTGGACTATGTACATGGCGTCCACTAGTAACCTCGTCATCATCTCGCTGGACAGGTTCCTGGCCACCTGCTATCCGCTCAAACATCGCAAAATGATTTCATCGCAGAAAGTGAAGTTCACGGGAGCGATTCCGTGGGGAGTCGGCTTGGCCCACGCTTTTCACTTTGTTTTTGTGTTTGAGCCGTACCAGGGGTATTGTCGGCCTGTGCCTGTGGACCCAACTCTTGCGCGGGCCACTTCTCTCATAGCGGTGACAACAGAGTACCTGTTGCCCATTGTAATTCTGCTGTATACGCATGCCAGAATATATATCACTTTGAGGAAGAGAAATATGCGTCCAGGAAACCCGCGACAGAATTTCTTTCGCAGCGCAAAGGAGAACGTGCGGAAGATCGTCCTGCTTGTCGGCAGTGCGTTCATCATCTGCTGGACCCCTGCCGAGTTCGAGTTTGTCGCCGCAACGTTTGGCATTTTTGTCAGCGAGTCGGTGTATGAAGCATTTATCGCGTTGGTGGCCTGCAACATGGTTGTGAATCCCATCATTTACTGCTTCATGTACGAACATTTTCGAACTCAGCTGAAGGGGGTCCTCCGGGCAGGGCTTCGAAGAAACCGAGTGCACCACGGGCAGCTCCCTCCAACCTGATTTGTCTCTTTCAGTGCCGCTGTGGCTACTGGGAACTGCCTTGCACTCGGGAGATTTCGTACAGACCTAAAACGGCACAAGAAATTTGAATCCTGTTATATTATTGCCATGAATCACCAGATGTATTGAGCAACGGCAGATTGTGCACATTTTGAATGGTTTATTGTAAACTTACGATACATTATTGTCACAACCTGTGGTTTGTTTAAAGTATTTGTTAAATGTACGGAGTGTATGAAGAGTAACGTTGCACGAAAATTCAAACAAGTGTTTGTCGACTTCCAATTCCTTGGAGAGCCAATATCGACTTTTCATCGGTAAACAATGTTATATTTGCAAATTACACGTAAATATTAAAATATGTGCTTATTAATTAATGTGTGAAATGATGCCTGACAATGAAACGACTACTGAGTTCGCATAAGACGAGCGGTAACACAAAATTTCGGATATTTTGGGTAGTTATGGTGATTTTGATGTAAACTCTCACCGGCATTGGAAGGTATTGCCCGGGAACTATGAATGGATTTCCACTTCCAGTGCCTTGGGGAGCGAGCTTATGACGATTACTTATCTTCAAACCATATAATTATAGAAATTGTGGTTACCAATCAATTAAATATCGTCATAGTTTGTTCTTTTTTAATCGTAAATAAGCTGTTTGGCGTTTTGCTGCGAGGTTGGGTAATTCTGTTTGGTTAGGAGAGATTTGCCGGCCACTTTCAATCCCTCACATTCGATGTATTGCAGAGCAGGGACGTCTACTTAACAGGAGGCCGTCAGCAGTACTGTTGGGCTATTAGCTTCCAGTTCCCCTTGAAAAAAATGTGTGCATGCGGGTCCACCCCCACCCTGAATTGTGCCCTTTTAAGGTCACTGGCCTCAAAGTGGCCCACGTTCGCGATGATGATGACGATACATTTTGGGAGGGCAACATTGCTGGGGTTCGTCATAAGTTGGCAGTCAGTCACGTCCAAGAAGTTGTTCTGTTGTTGTTTGTTTCGTGAATCCCTTTGAATATATTGGAATACTGCATTTGCCGCTGGTAATGGTCAATTAAAGTTACCAGAGAAAATCTGACGAATAACAATCAAAACTATTCTTGGTTTTGACTGCCAAACGTCACCCCTGTAGTTTCTGAATCTCATATTCCAGAGCCATACATAATAGAATACACACTGACTGATTTTGAATGCTCAATAATTTTGAAGCATGCAGCCATGATCCCCAAGCTGGAGGCGATTTTCCTGGCAGCGGAGGCTTCTTTGGTCGGAACTTTACTGCACTGGCTCACAAGCGACTACCGGTAGGAAATGCATGCATTGCGTGCGCGTCGCTACCAACAAATCGAACACTCCAGACCAGCATGGCTCTTTTCAACCGATGAGGGGGTGCTTCTGCTCATGGCTGATAGATTGCACCTTATTGTACTGTCATTGTGATTACAACACCTGACGAGAACGCTGAGGAAAGAACGAGCAATGTTTGAGCGGGGTGTCTGGAGTTAGCGCCCTCTTAGCCCATATTCCATTTCTAGAATATGAGAGGACAGGGTACAGAAAAAAAATTAAGATGGGTTTTAAATCAGTTGTCTCCTAAATTGAGGTCGAGCTTACATACAGTTTGATTACAACCGTATTTGCCCTCTTTCGGCGACATCTGTCTTCAAGTGACGTCACTAACTAATACGAAAGAAAAACCAACAACAAAAAAAGAAACATCCCACGAACAGAGTATCTCAGGGGGGGGCACTGACCCGTGGTCTTCGGTTTACCCTCTTTACTCGGTCACAGCAACCGCTACGACATATAATGTTTTTGTCTTAGACTGCATTCGAAAAAACTTTCTTTGGGGGAAGCTTTTCTTTAGTCAACTGCGACCCGATAGCACAATCACCTAACGAGATGACATTTCAAAAGGAAATTTATCGATTGAGATGATCGTTCACTAAGTCAGTCGGTCAGTCAGTCCCTTCGCCAGCCAGTTAGTCAGTCAGTCAGCTGATCTGTCCATTTGCCCCTCTGTCCTTCCAAGGTCATTTGGTAGGTCCGTCAGTCTGTGAACATCGCCCCCTGTAGTGTCATTTGGTGTCAGCATGCATCCCCCTTGTTTTTCAAATTTCCATGGCAGGGCAAGTCATCCTTTCCCCATCCCCCATCCTTCCAATTTCCGGCAATAATTTACGCCACTGGAGTGCGCGCATGACGAAAGAACCGGATAGCAAGCTTCAACCCCAGCATGAACAATATTTGCAGCCCAGGAATGCGACTTGTGACTGTCTATACCGTGACCGCACTAAAGGAAGTGTCCGACATACGAAGACTTTGGAATTGTAAATACTGTCTTTTGTGGATGATTTTATGTGTATATGGGATATTCTGTCACAGTAATCGAAATTCGTATTACAGCTTCGCCTGAGAGCCCGTCGAGATTTTAAAACTTTAAAGGGTAGCTGCGACTAAAGTTTTCTTAGATAAAGTTCTTGCAGCTTTATACTCTTGTTTTATGTATGAACACTCTTTTAGACTCCCATTTGGTTAAATGTACTGAAAAGTGCGCTTTTTAAGCACTTAAAATTATCCATGCTTTCCTGGACAACTGAGGGCGCTGTTGCTGTGATGTCATCTAGGGAGGACGTAGTTTGTTGCATAGGCCTTTTTTAATTTAAAACTGTGAACTCAGAATTTACCCACTGACAACATTTCTAAGAAAACTATAGGTGTTCACTTATTATATCGCTTAATTTAAAAATATCCATGAAGGAGCAAAGAAGAGAAAATTTGGGTCAGTTTTTTAAAGTTACTCATATTTCACTGTGGGTTGCATTCTTTCAAAGTACATGGTCATTTAAATCTCGTGCAATTATTTTCATGTGAATGGTTCCCTCTGTAATGATAATTGAAATCGGCCATCGATAACCAGCAGTGCGACCATGCCCCGGGGCCTAGTCCCAAATGGTCGACTAGAAAGTCCAAACCGTCCATCGATCGGGCGGTGTTGGTCGAACTATTGTTAAGTATAGTCGCCGCTTAAACTTGCCCTAGGCTTTCTTTGTGGGATGACATCACAGTTTTGCTTATGAATATGGAAATGCTTATTAGCGTAAAAACCCAAAAGGCAGCAAAATACCCTTTGAAATAGTGAGACAAAACATGAAAATAAGGTTAACTGAGATATAAAGGGTGCATTTGGAAGGTTAGTATCAAATTGATTGCAGCTGCCCTTTAATATACTTCCAAAGTCTACAGATTCACTAGTCTGTAATCAAATAATTATCTGTGATTTTTTGATAAAGTCAAAGATGCTAATAGGAATGATACAGTAGTTCGCAACTGAGTTGAAACCTAAAGAAAATACTTCCACGGACCGAGGTATTCGTACCCAAATCTGCTCAATAAAAGTTAAATCGTAAGGAACAAAATGCAAGAAGGAACATTATTTTTTTTAGGTGTTTTTGAAGTGGCCCAGTTTTTCCGTAATTCTTATTCATGAAGGGACTTTCTCTTTTTTTGGCCGAGTTCGGGCGGCTTGTTCCCGTATGTTCACAAACAGCTCGATTTGTTGTGCGTGGGTCAGCCGCTTGAACGCCGAGAACAAACAACCGGTTACCGCTGGCAGTTAGTGACAAGCAACATGCAACATGGTGGCGTCCATGTAGGCTACGTTATTCGAGAGTTAATGTTTAGAAGGGCTGAATTCTTTTCTATATAAACAAGCACATTCATTTTTGTGTTACGGAAAATAATTAATGTTAATTTTGCAAAATTTCCCATTGTCTATGGCTTTGGAAGCCATCTCTCTACTTTTTGCAGCTGTTCAAAAACCAAAATCTCAATAGTTTTTCCGTGTGTTCCTGTAAAACCCTGACGAGTGGGTGGTGATCCTTTTCCAAGAACAGTGTTCTTGAGTCGTGTTCCCGCCGTTCGAGCGCGAGAACAAGAAACCCGTGTCAAGAACAGGCCACCTGAACTCGACTAGTGATGTGTAGGGAACCGTGCCTGAGTAAGGGCGCCCTCATCCTTCACGTCACGGAGGTAAATGACATAAAGTTTATACTTCCTTGGGCGCTTCCCGTGCAAGCAGTGTCAAGGTGGTCTTTATCTGTGGGTTTTGAATTGTGTAGAGAGATACCTAACCTCTCTGAATGTCCTTCAATTTTGAAGGGAGCATAGCTCCAGCCATGCTCCTCACGTAAGTCTTGGGGAAAGGCATCTTTCAGTAGTTGTAGGTATATTTTGTATGATCTTTTGTCAAAGATGTTGTGTAATTTTCGAGACACAACGTAGGCCTAACGACTGTCAAAACAGAGTTTGTGTTTTGCATTGTACATGTAAGTGTACAAAATTCCCACACAGCACGGAAAATTTTCAAATCACTACCATTTCAACCAAATTCAGTTTCTTTGGGGTGAAATTTCGACCGTATGTCCCTTATATAAAACACTTCAATTTGTGACGGATGAATGTCACTTGAAAATTCCTCCTTTTAGAGTAAAGTTGAAATATCTATTTCGTGAAATTCTTGTGGGATACCACTTTAGTACCCCACAAGGATCAAAACTGGCCTTGTAGGTTACCTTCCATTGTTCCGGTACCCCACAAGGCACCATGTACAAGCGCAACAGTACACTGTACACGAGAACAAAGGAAATACCCCACAAGTAAACATATGTAAGGGGGGGTGTTTACATGTGATATCTGACTTGTCATCGCGTTGTACTGTACCATCCTGCTATTAGATTTGGGAACAAATTGTGGTTTAGGATAAATGTAGATGTCTTTTGCTTTAGGCCTGTATCTGTTCTTATGTAGTCATATCCCAAGAGCTCGTCCGCTATAATTTAGGGACCGTTCCTCCTTCCTCCCACCGTCCAACTGACGTGGGGCTGGTCTGCTAAAGATGTATCCATCCAGTACCTACGTATTACGCAACCACCTTTTTTGCACCCCGCTGGCGTTTACGCACCGCAATCAGTTTGCCGCAGGGACGCAAACACTTCATCGCTCTGCTGTTACAGGCAATTAAACACCAAACGAAGAAATATCCAGTGCCGTTCTCCTTCTTCTTCATCTCCCCCCCCCTCCTCCTTACTTAAGCCTTATTCCCCACCCAAGTGCCAAATAACAATAACCAGTCATAAAGCCTGCACACGTAGGACATCTCACCGGTACAACGAATAAACGTGCAATTGCAGGCTATGCCGCGCAATTCGAAAGAACGATTGCCTATAATGCGCCCACTCTACAAGTCGATTAACACAGTTAGGTGCATATTGGCCACATAGTGATAACACGTCATCATGACGTAAATAGGGCATGATATAGGCCAGGCATCTGTCTCCCCTCACTGAAAGACAGAGAGGGGAGACAGGCTGGACCACTTGGTGCCATCTCTAAGAAATCCGACTTGGAGAAATTAAACATCCAGTTGATGAAAGTTTGTTCCCTAGCTTGAGCGTTTTTATCATCGAGAATTCATCATGTCTGGCACGAGTGACTGGGAGCAACTTCGGTCGAGCGATAGCTTTGACAACAAAACCAATTTTTACGATCTACTCGGGCCCCGCAGCCCTCTCCAGATTGCAGTTAACACCGGCATCGCCTGCCTGGCTTTGCTAGGTAACGGCCTTGTGATAACCGTCATGCTGGCCAGACGCCGCATGTTCAGCTCCCTCACGAATCGTCTCATCCTTCACCAGTCCATCATCGATTCAGTTGCCGCTGTGGTTTTCTTCCTTCACAGGGTTGTCGTGAGCTCCC